TAAAACTGTGATGAAACACGCGTATAGACGCGTGCGGACAAACAGGCATGAAAAGACAAGACAGATGATTGGTTGAATACGCGTGCGGACAGACAGGACGTGACAAAAGGATGTTTACCTGTTAATGTCCTTCGGACAATTATCAAGAGCCCCGGTACTATATAAAATCAGGAATGATAGTGGATGAGTTTTCAGAAATTCTTTCATTAAGGCTTACTCTATATATTATATTTAATACTGAAAAACGCCAAAGATCTAAGAATACTTTAAGACTTCTTTAAACTTATGAACAACTCGACATATGGTAAGACCATGGAGAATGTTCGAAAATATTAAGATGTCAAGCTCATAAAGATGAATAATAAACGAGATGAGAAAGCTTTCTTGAATAAGGTTCGCAAACCATCTTCAAATATGCTAGAAAGCATGGTCCCCTCACTTATAGTAGTATATATAGGAAAGCATAGTGTAACTCTCAGCAAACCAATATACCGTAGTTGGCGCGGACTTGGTAAGTTACATATGTGCGATTTTGTATAGATATGTAAAAGAAAAATATGGGGATATATGGATACAAATTCATTTGTCGAGACGGAGAATATCTTACTGAGAGGCTTGATCTATTTAATTTTAATGAAGATGCGACTATTAGTACAGAATCATGTGACTTTGAAGTCGATACGTAATGTTTATATCACGTAAAAAAAAAAACCAGTCGCGTAACAATGGATGTGTTTACAAATTCAATTAGATTTAAGTTCTTTTCCGGTACTCAATTTCTTAATCATTTTTTGTTTTTAAATATTCTAAACCATGTCTGAGTACTTCAGCCAAATCCTGAAAGAGTATTCTCGACTTTTTGAACGAGTGTACCCTAGAACCGTTCGATTTAAAAATAGATTATTGCATAAAATCCTTCTTAACAATAATAAATTCTCATAAAAGTAATACACAGGAAAGAGAAAACGCACGGGTGCTTCTCAATAAATACAAAGAAGCAAGTAAAATTCTTGGAAGGTAAAGTGGCGTGACTGGAGGCCTACTAGGTCGCCCGTCATTCAAGGCTATTTTAGCTGAGCCACGAAACTGGTGTTGACGCACAAATGACTTTCCAGTTATCTGATGCTAAAGGCTATATTAGCTGATCCAACATTGGACACGGGTGGTCTATTAGGTTGCGATAATGCTTCGGTGGGATAGTTACTATTTCTAGAATTTTCATGCCTAGGTATCCTAAACCTGATCGAAAAAAAGCAATGGAATGAAAGAAGCGCACGCAGAGGCATGTTCACATCCAAAACACAGCTGTAATAATGAAATAAGGGATGGAGCATTTGAAAGTATAAGTGGTGTTTTGTCAAAAAAAAGAATGAGGTACGGATGAGTAGTTTGAGAATTGTGGCTGCTTGATATAACTCTTTATTTTTTGTATTTAGTCCGATAATGATTTTATATCTGCCAGAACAATCACTCAAAAGAAGCGGAAAGAATCTGTCGCCATTAAAGGTTAGGATATAACAAAAGTTTTTGAAAATGTTTCCTTAAAATCCATGTCCATTTTTTTAATAATTGTTGTATGTCCATAGAATAAAGAATCTAAGGAGCCTGTTAAGCCTATAAAGGTCAGTATGGAATGCGCCTGTGATAAGGATTTGGTAGCAAATTATTTCTCTAAGTCGAGGTCGACGTTTTTTTAAGGTCCCTTTAAACAACTGATGTTAGATGATTAGAAATCTTAAAAAGATGTACGCATATGATTACGAAAAATGAAATCCTACGCTAAAATGAATGATGCAAATAAATGAGTACTCAACCGGAAAAGTTGTGGAAGACGCTCTATAATTTCGGCATGCGTTGCAATATGAAAAGTAAGTTTATATGTGTTTATATGTAAACAATAAGCTTAAATTCTTCAGGATATATGAGTTTCGCTCACACTTTATCCCTATGTAAAAGTTCTTATACATTAATTTGTTTTGGACCCTGAAAATTATACTTATTGAAGTAAAGAGTTTATACTGAGAGCATTACACCAAATCCTCCATTTCGAGTCAAGAAAACGCCATCGATGCGTCTTGACTTGAAACATCTAAATAGCTTTAATCTTGTAAGTTTTACTTCCTTTTTATATATAATATTTTTTACTGACAACTGGTATGTTGTTTTGATAGAAAACCATCTCAGAAATTCGGAAGCAAGTCTTTAATCATGATCCATTGGATCAAGATTTCAATATATTAAGAGATTGGATCGAGACTGGATGCGAAATATTACTTTATTCATTTAAGATCAGGTACTAATATTGCAGGAATATTCATCAAATTCTAACGACGGACCATTTAGAACTACGAATTCTCGTTCACATTTGGAGCAACACCGACAAAGTTTTTAATGATATTGGAGAAGTGAAAGTGGTCAGGTAAGGAACAAGAGGCCTCCAATCGGTTCTCATCTTTCATGGTCTAAATAACTTTTACAGTAGAGGAGAGTCATGTAGCCTGTTGTCATCAGCAAGAAAAATCATGAAAGGGTCATGCCTGCAATAATATACAGTATATAATATTTAACAGAAGATTGATAAGTTTTTCTGGATTATCTTTTATTAAAATAAATTTGAAGACTTACTGAATGATATGGTAATATTTGTTGACAATATTGGTGGGAATATTTAGATTCGCTTTTTTTTTTTTTTGTATTAATTGTTATATTATAGTTTTAAAATTAAGTCTTTCTTATAAGCACAATCTTTTATAGGCTGTGTCTAGTTTTTCTTTATTTGTATTTCTATTTGTTAAACTCTTGCAATTTTGTTGTTATTTGAAAGATCATGAGTTCAAAAAGATAGGTGAAGAAAATTATGAAAATGTGATAATAGAATTGTTATATTATAGGTATTAGTAGTTATAAGTAAGATATTGAAAATATTTGATGTATAGTTATTAAAGTACTTTTTTTTTTAGATAAATATAGAAACTTGTAGTATTATTTATTTCTATATTATTTGAAATAGAGAAGTTTAAGTTGATAAACATGAATAAATCATCTTTATATAACTCTTATAATGGAAGTTGGCTATAATTGAATATGATTAGTGGTTGGTATGATAATTAGTTTGTTTATTAATAATGTAATTTTGTTTTAAGTATTGTTATCAGAATAGGTTTTGTTTATAGTAATTATTTTATAATGTATTAGTTATATAGATTTATTTAGATATTTGATAATGTTTGATTAATTGAGTTGAAAGTAATAATCAATTAACAGAAGTAAACTAATTATGGTTTTTTGATAAAAAAATTTTAAGTAAAAATTTTTGATTTTTTTGTAATATAGCAAAATATAATAAGTAATGATAAAAAATAAATATTAAATGTATTACTGATATTTAAAGTTAACAATATAAACAATTTTAAAATAAAAGATTGATTTTTAAAGTTAGAAAACACCTTTTAAAATATATATATTTATTAATAAGCATTGTATATTAATAAGAAATAAATAAAAAGGAGACCTATGGGTCTATAGCACAGTGGTAATGCTCCATAGGTCACCAGGAGAAGGTCTAGGGTTCAACCCCACCTGGT